ACAGCCGTGAAGGGAACTTCATGGGCAAAAGGTTCTTCTTTCAATCTGGTGGGATCGCCAAGGAATAATCCACTTTGAATTCTTACCACCTAATGCAATAATTAATGCTCAAATATACTGTCAGCAATTAGAGCGTTTGAACCAAGCTTTGAGGAAAAAAAAGACCTGCTCTAGTCAATCGAAAAGAGATGATGTTTCATCAGGACAATGCGCGACCCCACACAGCAAGAATCACGTAACAAAAGATCGAAGAACTTGGTTGGGAGAAAATTCCTCAGCCATCTTATTCTCCCGATCTTGCTCCTTCAGACTACCATTTGTTTCGTAGCTTACAGAATCATTTGGAAGAAACAGCTTTTGTAACACAGGAAGAGGTTAAAACTGACATTTGTGAGTTCTTCGAATCAAAGCCAAAAGAATTTTACAGTAATGGAATTAGTAAGCTTGTTAATAGATGGAAGGAAGTCCTAGATAATCAGGAAAAATACATTGTTGATTGAATCTGTAATTAAATGTAACATTTGGTCACTTGTTTTCTTTATTCAAAATTCGGACAGAACTTATGGGATGACCTGATATTTGTTGTTATGAATAAAAATGTGATAAAGGAAAGTATTAAATTAACTTTGTGTAACAAATAACATTTTTAAATAAACTTCTCAGTGTAAAAACAGAATTAGTGAAAAGTGTTCGGAAGAAGAGTTTGTTAATAATTAGATATAACAAAACATTATTAAAAATTAACTTTCTTGTGAGAGACTTTGTAACATTTGTAAAAAGTAAGACTAGAAAATTGGATTAATAAATTATTTATTTAAATCAAGAAGCGCGGTAAAAATTCAAGATATTTTTCAGATGCTCGAAACAGAAATTCAGATTACACAAAAAGTAAGTTTATCATTAGTGTATAAGCTTTTATGAATAAAAAATATAGAGAATAATATTAAATTAACTTTAAGCGAAAAATTTTAAATTAACTTTCAAATGACAAAACCAAGTTTCTTAAGTTACATTTTTAAATAGAGTTTCGCACAAAAAGCGCTGGTCTTTGCAATAAAAACATAAAGTAATAAGTTCGAAGGAGATAAAATAAATAAGTCTCATATTTACTTCAATTAAATAATGTAAAATTATTCCAAATGAAAAAAAAGTTTCTTAAGCCAACTAGAGTAGCAAACTACTGTAAACCCAAGCTAAAGCTGAAAATCTTCGCTCCGAGATTTGATTGTACCCTAAAATTTTACGCAAGATTTGCACCATGACTTTGACATTAATAAAGAACGCCATGTAACAACGAATTTGAATATTAAAAGTTATAGAGCAAAACGAGACAAAAATAAATCTCTAAAAACAGATACGTATTGGATGAGTGGGATTCGGGAAGCAGATAATTTGTAAATCTTGTGTAATGATAATAGACGACTGAGACAGTGAGTCCGGAACATAAGGTGGATAGATTTGAACAGAAATAGTGAAGGTAAAAAAAATTAATAATGAATACTCTACTCTAATAACATGGATATTCTTGCCTTTATGAAATAGATTGATAAAGAAGATTGACACAGTGGTAATAGTTATTGAGGGTTTTGGCTATTATGATCTTGGATATTTGTTTCGTAAAAGACACCGAGTACTTCTTGGATCTCCCTCGCCAAAACTGGCAAACTTATTCTTTTTAGAAAAAACTGTTTTCGTCAGTAAAAACGAACCGACGCGGTGCACAAATCTTTTAAGCTAAAATGCCGTACGAATCTGTTCACAACATTCCAGAAAACAGGTTGAATTGTTCGTCCCTCTGAATTTAAAATTGTCTCATTTGGCCAACCAGCTTATGCATACGCCAATGGCTACCTTGATCTCGTCACAAGTTGAGTCAATCACCATAAACTTACAAATTAAACAAAAAGTTGGCAAAATTATAAATGCATTTATTTAAGAAAAGTTTTCAGAAACTTCAAGAGATTGGAATTTCGAACCAAATCCTTTATTTCATCCACCATAGACACAGGATCCAGTGGCTGAAATAATCCTGTGACTTGACCCAAACAGTTACAAGTTCAATACCTGGCTACAGCAGAGGTGAACAAAAAATTGGTGTGTTGTATTAAAGGGAAGTAACTCATACTGAGATATCTGAAAGAGGCATGGCACCTGGAACTAGAAAAATCTGCCCCGGTGGATTAAATAAAGAGTTTGGTTCGAAATTCCAATCACCTGAAGAATGTCGGAGCGTACAACGGCCGAAACGTCGTGAATATGGCAACAAAGCTGAGGACAAGAGTTCGAACAATGTAAATAATTTCTATACCTCATTTCAGAAAGATAGACAGATAAAAACAAAAAAATTATTTAGATCTACAAAGGAGAGGAAATTGTGGAGGACCATGATCGTCAACGGAAAAGGTACACATAAGAAGAAGAATATTTGAGAGATTTACCGTTTAGTTTGGCAATAAATCTACCAAATTTATCAACCATTCACCTGAAGTCAATGGACTACAACATGGAGATGCTAGAGTTTGGAAACATTATCTTCTCTAACCGTGAATTGAATTGTTAAACGATCACACGGATGCACGCCTAAAGAAAAAAAAATGAAAAGATTGGGTTGAGTAGGGAAGAGATATAATAAAACTCTTTCTGTTGCCCAGTTACAAAAATGTCAACAAATTATAAACAAGGCTTCAAATGCTCGTGTAAAAGGCGAACAGATGCCTTGGTGGATCCGGGAATATGAAAAATAATAGGGGCCCTGCAAATGATTCTCCTTTCGTTTACTTTCATTTTTATGGTTCATTTCACTTGCACCAGTCATCTGTGACAACCAACCATATGGAAAATGAATGGATATTAAAAATAAATAAAGCCACGTATCCACATATACTTGACTAACGAATTTGTGGATGGGCACTTGATGAATCATAAAGACATCATGTCAATACAGTATTTATCATTTTTATTATAAGTAGAAGTAGAAATAGTGGTATTTGCATTCGTAGTTGGAGTACAATGAGTGTATTTATACTGACCTAGTGGCTTTTATGGAGATAATATAACACCAAGTTTTCGCAATAATCCAGCATCTTTCTCAATATTTTGGATGATTTTAGAATCACTATCGTCTAGATGATTTCTTCCTTGAATTTCTAATTCTTCTAACCTCTTTGCAAGACGTAGGCGTTCTATACTACAGGTCTACTCAAGATGCAAATAAGGAACTGAACTGGAGACCCATTTCAGAATGTTTGAAATTCAGAAATTTTGGGGATAAAAGTTAAAAGTTCATTAAAGTTCTTAATAAATTACTTTTTCATTAATTTTATTGTATTTGCTACAATTTTGATATTTTTTTACGGTAAACTAAACTTCAACATATTCTTAAATACATTTCAGAAATAAAAATACAGTTACCCCTAAAAATTAAATATTATCACTAATATTAGTTGCTATGAATAACAATATTATATTATTAACTTTATCTGACAAATAATGGCATTTTTAAAAGGATAAAAAACATAGCAAAAGTTATGAAAATTAACTTTTCAGATAAAGAGAGAGAGAGAGAGAAAGAAAGTCTTTGGAGCATTTATAAGAAGAAAAACTAGAAAAATCGGTTTAATGAGTTTAAATCAAGTAAAATTATTTATTTTTTCCGTTAAACCATACCTGCCTTTTTTAGGTCAAGTTTTACTTTGAATGTTGTTCGATTGGATTGATTTGTTTTTTTGTTTTTTTTACATATTATCAATCTTTGGCAGGTTATTCAAAGCCAGAAATGTATTTTTAAAATTATAAGAATTTTAGGGGAGATAAAAATGATTTTCTAACACAAGTCCTACTATTTAATCCATAGCTGGGGATAAGAGATGAATTCCTACCTTTCCCAAGGCTATTTGCGCGTAAATGAATATACCGAACCCGAATGAAATTTGAACTAAATCTCCGATTAAAAATTCTGATCCATTATCCATTACATCACCCTCACATCCAAGCTTACAGCACCTGGTATTGCCAAGTAGTCACCCATCTAGGTACTGACCAGGTCTGACGTTGCTTCAACCTGATATGACCGTAAGCTTATTATGTGTTGTAAAGCGTTACATTACGGTATAAGAATTCTAGACAAAATTCAACATAAATTTTTACGTGTAAAAAAACAGAAATACAGATTACACACACACACATACAGAAAAACAAAGTTTATCCTTAGCGCATTTGTTTTTGCGAATAAAAAAAATCAGAGAATATTAAACTAACTTTTGGTGCAAAATGTTAAATAAACTTCCAATTGACAAGATCAAGAAGTTTGTTTTTACAATCAACATAAATAATATATCAAGACCAAAGCACAAAAAGAATGTGATCATAATCATCAGCATCGCTATCGTCATCATCAATACCATCATCATCATCATCATCATCATCATTGTCATCATCCTCGTTGTTGTTGTTGTCGTCGTCATCATCATCATCGTCATTATCATCACCGTCGTCGCCGTCACCATTCACATCATCATCATCAAATGACAGTGCAGACTGTGCATTTTAGTGTTTTTAAGGCAAACATTTTACGAGAAAGACAACTGTGGTTACAAATCCAGCCTGAAGACGGATGAGCCCTCTTAAGCTACCTAGCCGTAGATACACCCACTGCTGTTACAGCTGCAGTACATGTAGTGTCCGAACAATCCACGTGGGTTACGGACATCGGAATCTGGATTACGTATCTTTTCATATACTAAATATAACAATTATAGATCAGATTTGTTACATTTTTAAAATTGATATAATTGTTTTTTTTTTCATTTCTAAAATAAGAATAATAAACTTCTGATTCCTAAGTGAATCAAATAATCAGTATCATCTTGTAAAATCCACGATGCCTCTGGAATATAATTCGTATTCTTACAAAGAAAACTTTAAAAATGGTTTAATAGAATCTGATTTGTTAATAAATGAAAACATCAAACCATCAAACAATAACTCTCAATGGAGAGAAGTTAACAGGGGACAGAGAGAGAGAGAGAGAGAGAGAAAGGGCACAGCAGGAGGGAGTGAGAGAGACGACGCAGAGAGAGAGAAAGAAATCGCTTTGTTCCGCTTCTGTGAAGGGTTTTCATTGTATGACATTCAAATAAAGGTGACCAACAGTTATCAAAGAAAGAAATTAGATTCGACGCGTGAATGGTGGAATAGGTTATGTATCCCTCTGCGCCCTTAAACCGAATGAGAATCTGCTCGTAATCAATATCTATTAGCGCAAAATTGTTAATAACATAAATAATAAAACCAGATAGGACTTGGCAGAAAGTCGGGTTCAGCACCGTAACAGACCCAGTATAACAAACCGGTTTTAATGCGTCGAATATACGAATGCTGGAAGAAAAATAAGTAATTAAAAAAAAAAAAAAAGAAAAAAAAGAAGCGGAAATAAGAAAATGTAAAATATACAAATAATCATCTGTAGTATTCGACGTATTCCATATTCGATAATCGATTTATTTATCTTGTCTTTGCTTATAAATTTGTAATTTAAGATGTAGTGGTGAAAATTGTTTCCATTAAGCGTTATTTCGTCTGTGTTCATCCAACCTGACAGGGCCACCTACCAGGGTGATGTTTTGACTACTGACCAATAGCCATCTTTTTCCTGTTTGTTTTCAGATTACTCAGCTTCGAAGGCAAATTAACTGATGATTACATTGTAATTTCTAAGGAACCAAGCGATTTTATTTTTAACATTTTCGACATTATTTCTTATTCGTCCAAACGTTATGCAGGAGACAATCTACTCATAGAGGAAGTAGACACTTGAAGCATTAGAGATGTTGTTCTACAGAAAGATTCTGAGAATACTATAGATTTTAACTAAGTTCCTAGAAGAATGGAAACAAAAAGATTACTTAAACTTAGAATCGGGAAGAGAGTGTTTAAATTTGTAAGTCAAGATGTAGTCTATCTATCTATCTATCTATCTATATCTATATATATATATATATATATATATATATATAAAATTCTGTGACATCCGTTAGTCCGTCCATCCGTCACACCTTCTAAAACAGCCATACATTGACCGATCGAAACCGAATGTTGGGGAGAAGTAAAAACAGGTAAGGGAGTACAAAGTACAGTTGGTTTTACTAGGGTGTGTAAGGGAGTACAAAGTACAGTTGGTTTTACTAGGGTGTGTAAGGGATTACAAAGTACAGTTGGTTTTACTAGGGTGTGTAAGGGATTACAAAGTACAGTTGGTTTTACTAGGGTGTGTAAGGGAGTACAAAGTACAGTTGGTTTTACTAGGGTGTGTAAGGGAGTACAAAGTACAGTTGGTTTTACTAGGGTGTGTAAAGGAGTACAAAGTACAGTTGGTTTTACTAGGGTGTGTAGCCTAGTACAACTAATTTTCATTAACTTTTTTGGAAAAATTAAGTTTTATTATTTAACATGCAAGATACTCCCATTATTTTAAAAATAGTACAATGATTAAAATAACAAATACTTTGTCGAGAAAATCTCAAAGCCCCAAAACAGAGACTGGTCAGGTCGAAGAAAAGAAGCAATAGCACTTACCATAATTTTCGAAATGAAAATTCCTTTCCGCGACGTCACCTGACCATCTGATAACTTGTATAAAGTGAATGTAAACGAAAGGTTGGGGAAAATTATACTTCCTATCCTTTATAACTACTTCAGGGATCACGTGGCATCAAAGTCACGTGACCTCTGTAACTATAAAAAGTTAGTAAAATTAACAGCAACTTTTAGTTAGTAAGAATCAAACAACCCAATGTAAGTACATTTCTCTTCTCCCGCCTGAACAATCAAATTCTCCGCAACTTATTTAATAAAAATGAAATTTTATTTTACCTTTGCTTTAAGTATTTTGATTTAATCGATTTGTTCGCAAAATTAAACGAAACATAGACTTTGTAAATCTCGACAAAAAATATTATCGATAACTTCAATAATACTAATTACTGTGAGGATTTTAATACGCGTCAGCGTCTTGCAAAGAAATTCTTATAGTAAAAATTGTTTCCTTTAAGTGTTGTTCCAGCTGTGTCCAACCAACCTGACAGTGCCACCTACTAGGCCTACGTTTGGCTACTGACCAATATCAATCATTTTTCCCGTCTGTTTGAAAATTACTCAGCTTGGAAGGCAAGTTAACTGATGATTACATTGTAATTTAAAAGGAACCAAGTGATTTTATTTTTTAATCCGACATTATTTCTTGTTATTTTAACGTTATATTGCTAGATACAAGTGTTTGAGTAGACGCCCTGTTATTTTTAACGCACTGCCCATTAAAACGACTTAATAAAGAAAATCTACTCTCCATGGAATAGATGTTGTTCTTGTTTTTTCCATACCTGAAGATGTCTGTAGGAACAGACGAAAGCTTGTAGTAAAAATAAGAACTAATGCAACAGAAATTTATAAAAACAAGGATCTTTTCATTCATAACAGGTTCTGGGTTTTTGTATATTATTTGAATTGTTAGAGACGATGGATTTCTCGCCAATTAAATCATTAACCTTTGTATTTGTTTTTGTATGAATAATTCATGAATATATATATATATATATATATATATATATATATATATATATATATATATATATATATATGTGTGTATTTATATATATATATATATGTGTGTGTGTGTGTGTATGTGTGTCTGTGTGTGTCTCTGTGTGTATGTGTGTTAGTGGAGAAATTGGTTTGCACAATGGCAAAATCATAAGCTTTTAAATGGAACCGGAGAGAAAGAGAGAGAGAGAGAGAGAGAGAGAGAGAGAGAGAGAGAGAGAGAGATCTGCAAATAAAGGAATTTATGAAGAATTTACTGAATACAAGAAACCTTACACAAAGGCTCCAAGTCTGAGATCTTTCCAGGCACTGTAGTTGACTTTACTCCCCTCGAGGCAACTGTAAATGTTATATAAACGGGTGACATAACGGAAATGAAGTTCTGGAAGCCGTGAAGAATATAAGGGCAATAGGAATCCAGCGGTCGACAACATTCTTTACGAATTGTCTCATTACTGACACTGATCTTGGATAAATAGTTGAAGCAAGGTTACATTCTACAACGCCTTTCCGGAGTTGTAATGAAGGGGTATTGGAAGTAGACGGCAGTGGGATGGAATCAATAGTTTTCGGTGCATTACTATATTAAATGCATAATTTAAAATTTTGCCAAAGATCTTAAACAGAGAGCAGTTTGTGTTGGACTGCCTTATACAGCATGACTAAGATAAACTACTTTTAGTTCGCATGAGCTTGGAAATAATGAACGATTAAGCTGCATTCGACAAGGTTGATTATTGTTTCAGGTCTCATTTTCATTGCTGGATACGCCTTCTGTATACGACGCATGTAGATGTGGTGTAAGTGTCCAGGACTCTTCGTCACTTATTTTCTAATTCGTTGCTTTGGAAATTTTCCAACGTAAGTTGACGGCGACAACGTCCGTCCACGTAATTATTTTACACGGTGCTCCGTCCCAACTCTCGTAACGAGTAATAGCGAGATTGAAAGAGGTCGAATTTTATGAGACTTATATGTTGGAGAGCTAAATTAACACACTAAATGCGTTGCTTGCTGTTGGATGCGTGGAGAATTTGTCCTTTTCCCGTTCCGTCCAATTGGAGGAATGTGCCGTGCTAGATACACCTTCTTTTGGTTTGTACTACAACCATTATCTGGATAAGAATTGTTAAAGTGGTTTGAGGCAACAGTTAATTTGTTGTTTTGAAAGAATTTTTTTTTGAACTGGAATGCCTAACGGTAGATTCTTGAAGAAAGGTGTAAATGAAGTGTTAGGATATTCCAAGTAGAGATTGCAATTGTGTGCAGTTCGTATTGGTTCTACAGTTCAAGATAATGTATTTAGCCGTGCGTCCACATCGCAACGAAATATGACAAAAGGTCAAGTTCAAAGTAGGTTTATCGGCGCTAACACAGAAAAATTCTAAAACTCCACTCGGCACTTTTCCATTGTGGGGACACCTCCAGCACACTCCTAAAGGAGAAGGGTATTGCCTGGAGGAAATGGCTCCCTAAAGGTTGAGCAATATTCTCGACAGAATGCTCTTCAAACCAATTCCATTCCAGTAGACATAATAAAATTCTAACACATTTTGTTGGAAGAAAAATTAACTATTTTATAAAAAAAATTGGTAGGATTGTACTCAGAGATGGTATTACATATATATCCTTTAAATATAAAAGTTTATAGTTATAACACACACATACATACGTGTATATATATATATATATATATATATATATATATATATATATATATATATATATATATATAAATTGGTGTTGACAATTTTCGATAAAAGGTAATTACATGTTAACACTCTTCGTAAATCAATTTATGAGACATCTGCGACGAAACATTCAATAATAACACACAAAAACGTAAATATTTTATATGCTTTTTATTCAGATATGTATGTTAGAAAATATGTAATTTGTTTCTTAGTAATTGCCAATTTTCTCTCTGATTATATTGCCTGAGTGCATTTAAAGTCTCTTCTACTCCAACAGCTTCTTCTCTCGCACTTCCCGACAGTGGAACACCCTTTCTCTTACTTGCTTCCCTGATAACTATAATCTTCAAAAATTTAAATGCAATGTCAATCGATAGCTTCTGATGCATTGGTGTTGATCCCTGTCCTTCTCTTTATCCTTTCCTCAAACATTCCTCTTTACTCTTACTTTCACTCTCTGTAACCACTCTCTCTTTGCTCTTACTTTCATTCTTTCTTTGCTCTCTTTAACCACTCTCTTTGCTCTTACTTTCATTCTCTGTAACCCTCTCTCTTTGCTCTTACTTTCATTCTCTGTAACCCCTCTCTCTTTGCTCTTACTTTCATTCTCTGTAACCCCTCTCTCTTTGCTCTTACTTTCATTCTCTGTAACCCCTCTCTCTTTGCTCTTACTTTTTCATTCTCTTTCTACTTAATTGTCTGTAACCCCTCTCTTTGCTCTTACTTTTCATTCTCTGTAACCCTCTCTCTTTGCTCTTACTTTCATTTCTTGTAACCCCTCTCTCTTTGCTCTTTTTCATTCTCTGTAACCCCTCTCTCCCTTTCATTCTCTGTAACCCCTTGCTCTTACTTTCATTCTCTGTAACCCCTCTCTTTGCTCTTGCTTTTCTCTCTTAACCATTCTCTACTTTAACCTCTGTAACCACTCTCTCTTTGCTCTTACTTTCATTTCTGTAACCCTCTCTCTTTGCTAACTTTCCCTCTCTCTCTTTGCTCTTACTTTCATTCTCTGTACCCTCTCTCCTTTCATTCTCTGTAACCCCTCTCTCTTTGCTCTTACTTTCACTCTCTGTAACCCCTCTCTCTTGCTCTTACTTTCACTCTCTGTAACCCCTTTCGTGTTAGTGGTACTCGCGCCTTGCTTGGGGTGAAATGCTTAAACAAAATGTAATCGTTGAAAGTATAGTAAATAAATATTTCACAAATATGCAAATACTTATTCCCACACACTGAATATTAAGGTCAATTAATCGCACAGAATAAAGACAAATAGAGAATTACTGTTTAATGTAGTTTCAGGAAACCCGAGCTCAAACAATTGTACAAATTTTTGGTAATATTTTTTCAAAAATGTATTGATGGTAATAATGTATTACTAGTAATAATTTTCTACAAAAACCTATTAAAAACTATTTTTACACTTTCATAGTGTTTTGACCCCAGTTTAGGGGTTAACTATTTGCCCCTAGCTGGGACTCTAACAGGTGCTACCACCCCGGGTCAGGATGGACCTGGAAACACAAGCAATTAAGAGGTGGTTCCATGCTCCTCAAAACCTCCTGATCAGAGGCCTTTCAGCTGAATGTAGTTTATCGTCCTACCCATGACGCAGATGTAGTTTATCGTCATACCCAGGACAGTGTATTTTCGGATATTTAATATGATAATAGTTGTGCAATTTCTTTAGTATAAAGGTATGTTCAGACATTTGAGTTGGGACACTCTACCAAAGATGGGTGTCCACTCTTCTTCTGTATAGTGTCTCTTCAAGACGCAAACAACCATGGCTCTCCACGATTTCTCATCCCTTGTAGCTTTAAGCAATAATTTTTCCCTTACTATTCCTATTATGGAGGGTTTGCTATAAAAGTGGCATATCTAGTCTTCTTCGGGGCTTTTATGTACCTTCAGGATATGGGAGATCAAAGCTCACCACAAGTTCCTATTGATTGTAGTACTAAGCAAAGTTTATCAACTCATTATCCTTAACAGAGAGGGTTTGCTATCAAAAACTTCTTACATAGTCTTTTTCAGTTTTTCTTCTTTTATGTAACATGCATCTTCAGGATGTGGAAAATCAAGTCTCTTGACAACTTTCTCTCCTTTGTAGCTATAAGCAATCTTTTTTTTCTTCTTATCCCTATCATGGATCGTTTGCTATCAAACAATGCATAGCTAATTTACTTCGGGTGTTTTTCTTTTATGTGTCACGTATCTTCATGACGTGGGAGATGAAGGCTTTCCGCAACTTTCTGTCTCTTGTAATTGTAATCTTTGTTCCCTTGCTGTCGAAATCATGGAACGTTTGCTATCAAAAACTGCTTAGCTAGTTTTCTTCAGGTCTTCTCTTTTATGTGTTATCTACATTCAGGACGTAGGTGATGATGGTCCTTCCCAACTTCCTATCACTTGTAGCAATGTTTGCTCCCTTCTCAGTTCCTGTTCTGCCATCCATTTACATAAGCCTGTTCCTAATTTTATCCTTCGATACAAAGCGTCGGGAAGAACAGTATCCAAGCCTTTCCTTGTAGTCTCAAAGTGACTAGTTTTATATTTAATTATTTTAACGCACCCTCCTCAGCATCTATCAATAAATTGGCGGAGACTATGATAATAGTTGCATTGGTATTGTTAAATAGTGCCAGTCTACTGGACTTCAAATTTGCATTGGAATTCCTCTGAGTGCAAGATTTGGCGCCATGCTATCTCGCAGAGTCGAGAAATCTTTGGCTTCTACCTTTGACTTTTCAGTTTGGAATTGCAAAAATAACATTGTTCTACCTGTGTTGCATAAAATGATTTTCTCTTTCGGGATACGTATGTACAATTGGGATTCTTTGGTAGCCAGGAAATGAAACAATGGGAAATACATAAAATAAGTTATGCATAGAAAAAGAAATCGATTTTGTTGGGTCATGAAATTACCTTCAGATAATATTGCAAATAATAAATATAAACGTGTGTGTATATATATGTAAATGTGTATGGGAATACACAGATACACTCATTTGTAATGCCTTCACTTAATTCTGAGACACAAATATACAAACTTTACGATAATAAGCGTCACATCCTTTAACGACATAGACGTTCATGTCCCTCTATAGATTTCTTTTTTTATTATAAATGAATTGCTGACTTCTTGGCAAATTTATTGGAGAATATGAACGATTTGCCTATCCATTTTTCGCACTAATAATTAAGTTACTCATACACAATGTTCTTCTTCTTTTATGTGCCATGTACCAGGACGTCCGAGATCAAGGCTTCCTACAGCTTCCTATCCTATATAGTTGCAGCCAATGTTTATTCCTTTAATATCCTTATCAGAGAGGGTTTGCTATAAAATAATTGAATAGTCTTCTACATGTTTTGTCTTTTATGTATCTTCAGGGCGTGGGTGATCAAGTCTCTCTACAACTTCCTATCCTCTGTAGCTCTAAGCAATGTTTGTTTCTTTAGTAACCCTGTCGGTGGAGTAATGGATAGCGGCTCCGATGGAGAAATCAGAGAGCCGAGTTCGAATCCTAGT